ACGATATACTTAATTCTTAGTCCCACAGTTTATTGGATGCTTCTCCTACCTTGTATTAAATGTAGTACTTTTGTAATATGTAAAACGATATGAAATTTCTTTTTTGGTGTATATGTTTAGCTTGTTTTACTTGTACATGAAGGGAGACAATATAAATTTATCTTTTCATTTGTACAAAACCTTGGGGATTTTACAACTATTGGGAGTTCAGAAAATTTTCTTACTTCCTGTTCATAAATAGGTGAAGTGTGTATTGTTTTCATTCAAACGAATGGTGAGAATTTCCCAACTTTCTCTTGGTAGGTTTAATTAGAGCATGGAAAGCTACCCACCAGTTCTCCATTCTCTTTGTGTGAAGGTCAGTCTAGGGTGAATTTGGCAGATTTTGAATGCTGATCAGATGATATGTTGTTGTTAAATGCCATTGAATTGATTCTGACTCATAGTGACCCTGTGTAGGGTTTCCAAGGAGCAGCTGGTGGGTTTGAACTGCTGACCTTGTGGTTTGCAGTCCAGTGCTGATCCTACAGCGCCACACTAGGTATTTGTTGTTAGTGCCATTGGGTCGGTTCTGACCCATAACCGGTATATTCTGTTGCTGAATGGTTGGCGCTGCTGTGAGGGCATGGTTTCTGTTCCCTTTACATTAAGAATTTTCCCTTTCAGGAGAAAGAGAAAACACACATATAAAGACACACAAGAAAATTAAGCAAAGCAAAAGAGAAAACAGTAGTGAAAAAATAAAAAGATGGGATACAAATTAATAAAATGAAAACAAGTCAGCAACGAGAAAACAAAATATATTTAAGAACAGAAAAGTGGAACAGAAGAACAGTTATGGAAGAGAAAAAGCAGAGAATTTTTTGTTTTTTTTTTTAACTAGCAAAATCAGGGAGATGGTAGATAAAATGATAAAGAATAGTAAAAATGATCCTGCAAATAAACAAATCTAAAGAGGTAGAAAAATGGAAAAAGAAGAAAAGAAACAATGAAAGTAGAAACAGCAAAGATAAAAGGGAAGGAAAGGTAGAAGAAAGATAAGAAACAATTAACAAAGAAAGCCAGTGAACATTTGAAAAATAAAAGCAGTGCAGTTGCAGGACCTGAAGAAAAGAAAGTTCCCAGGGGCACCAGTTAATCAGGATGCTCACAAGGTGTTTGGAAGAGAGATGAGTATGATCAGCCATAAATGGAATCCCTGTAGATCCAGGTTTTGTCTGTTTGGAACAAAGCAGCCAAACAAGGAATCTCCTGAGGCATAATTTTTGACAAAATTTGCCAGTTGATAAATGTGAACGTATTTTTGGTGTGCCACTAATTTAATAGAGTTTGTGACTTCTTTTGGTAGGTCCAGAATATTGCTGTCCTGTTTGGATTACCAAAACCAAAACAAATCAAAAACCAAGCCAACCCCAAATCTACTGCCATCGTGAGAGCCTATCAGACAGAGTAGACCTGCTCTTTAGAGGTCCTAAGACTAAGATTTTAAGGGAGCAGACAGCCTCATCTTTCTCTTGCCAAGGTTGCGGTTAGCAGCCCAACACTGAACCCACTACACCACCAGGGCTTCTTCTGTTTGGGTTAGTATAATTCTAACGAGAGTGGCCACTATGTTGAAAAGTGACTTAACGTATAGTAGTTTTTTACAAATGCTTTAAGTAGAAGCATAGCATTGAATGGTATTTATATTAGTGGGTAAATTGTGATTATTTAAAAACCACCCAGTTTTATACAGAGTTTCAGGCTTTATTTCTTTGGATGAATTAGGTTAGTTTTCACCTACTTCTAACATGTTCTCCTAACCTAGGTAAAGAATCTGAGGAATCGTAACAAATATGGAAAACCTGAAAATGTGAAAATTGTAGCTTAAATACTTTGCACTAAAGAATGGCTGAAACAGTGCCTAGGTTTTTTTTTTTTAACTTTTTATTGTGATTTGAGTGAAAATTTACCGAGCAAATTGGTTTTCCATTCAACAATTCATACACATTTTGTTTCATGACACTGATTGCATTTCCCCACAGTGTGACAAACACTCGTCCCACTGACTCTGTGCTTACCATTTCCGGTTGTCCTTTCCTTTCCCTTCCTGCCTTTTGAGCTTTATCCTGGGCAAATGCTGCCCTTTTGATCTTATATGGTTAGTTATTCTAAGGAGTACATACCTCCATGGTGTTTATTGTTTGGCTGATAGTTAAACAGTGTTGTTGTTAGGTGCCATCAAGTAGGTACCCACTCATAGTGACCTTATGAACAACAGAATGAAATGTTGCCCCACCCTGTACCAATCTCAAAGTCTTTGCTGTGCTTGATCGCATTGCTTCTGCCTCTGTGCCTGTCCATCTGGTTGGGGATCTTCTTTTTGGTGACCACCTATTTTACCAAGCATAATGACCTTCTTCAGGGACTGTTCCCTCGTGATACTATGTCCGAAGTAAGAGAGATGAAGTCACCATCCTGGCTTCTAAGGATGTACTTCTTCCAACACAGATTTGTTTATTCTGGCATTCCATGGTATTTTTAATTTCTTCCATCACCATAACTCAAATGCATCTATTCTTTTTTTTTTCTTTTTAAAACTTTTATTGTGAATTGAGTGATAGTTTACATGGAAGAACATTGGTTTTGCACTCAACCTATCGAATTTTGTTTCATTGCAATGATTGCAATCCCCTCCATGCATCATCATTTAAAAGTATTTGCTTTTATTCCCTCTGTTTTATTATTTTTTTATTTACACAAAAACACACAGGAATAAATATAATTGTTTAAACAACCAAACGGCACATTCTTCAAGCCAGTCTACTGGCCACCATCACACAGCCTTTCTCTTTCCATGAGTCTAGATTTCTCAGCTGCTCAGATTCTCCATGCCATCACGTCTGCCTCCATATCTGGTGCCGCTGCTTCTCTGGTTAGGGTCCCAAGTTCCTCTTATGCTCTTCTATCTGGATGGTCCTAGGGTCCTCTATTTCTGGAATATAAGATTAACTACTCCCCCCTTTTTGTTACACAACTTCTACCTTTACAGTTGTGACAATCACAAGTAGTCATGATAACAGTTACTCACTATTGAATCAAGAGAGTCCTATCTCCAACTCCTGTTACCAGACCCATATAGACAAGATGAAAACTATTTAGTGGGGATTCTACCTTCCCCCACACACTCTGAAACTAAACTCCCTCTTGAAAACTTGTAAGCCAGCCACTTCCTGCCTTTATTAACTCTCCCTTCCCCCCGAGTTTTAGGTAGCCAGTATCTTAAGTTGCCTGTCCCTGTCAACCCTATGTACCGAAGGGGTATGTTTGATCCTTGATGTGAAGACTCCTTCTCTCTCAGTTTGTATTTTGAGCTACTACATCCATAAGTACAGGCCAAATTCATCAAATTGTAGCAATTTACACTTGCTTCCTTTATCAAATTTCTTTATTTTCTTCTAGTTGAGCTCTGTTATCATGCCATTGAAGCTAGGTCAAATAGGTACTATCTGCAAGTTTGGGTGTTCTTGTGCGTCTCCCCCCGCTTCATATCAGTGGGATGCTTCACTCTCAGCTGTAGCCCTCCATGGCTAGGTCAGTGCCCATGGGCTCAGGAGCTCCCAAGGCTCCCCAAACTTCAGATCAACCAGCCCTTCCTCTTCTCTCTCTCATCTCAAAGTCGACAGGAGTCTATGGAATGTGGTCGAACTCAGCCCACATCTTCATTACTGCCTTTTCCCCAATTCTGCTCACGTGTAGACCAACATGGTGGCCAGTGAGCTGGGGCAGGCGCACCCAAGTCATCAGACTAACATCTTTGCTCTTGAACACTTTATTAAGAGGTCTTGTGCAACAGATTTGCCTAATGAAATAAGTTGTTTGATTTCTTGACAGCTGCTTCCATGAGTGTTTATGGTTGATCTGAGCAAAATGAAGTCTCTGGCAACTTCACTCTTTTCTCCATTTATCTTGAATTTATTTATTGGTCCATTTGTGAGCATTTTCATTTTCTTTATATTTAGAAACCCATATTGAAGACTGTGGTCTTTGATCTTCATCAGTAAGTATTTCAAGTTAGACATGGGAGTGAGTTAAAGGGTATTTATGGACCAGAGTCTCAAGGCTTCCACCATTCTCTATCAGACCAGTTGTTGTTAAGTGCCTTTGAGTGGGTCCTGACTCATCGCAACCCTGTATAGTGTTTCTGAGGCAGTAAATTGTTGCGGGAGCAGGAAGCCTCATCTTTCTTCTTCGGAGTGGCTGTTGGTCTCTAACTGCTGGCCTTGTGGTTCATAGTCCAGTGCTGATCCTACAGAACCACCATGTTCCCAATCAGACCAGTAAGCTTGGTCTTTTTTTAAAAAAATTTTGATTTTTTTCCCGTATTTTATTCTCTCACTCTTTCCAGGACCTCCTTACAGAGCCATCCGCCTGTATTGATAGCTGGGCATCATCTACTTAATGGTCTCAGGGTCATGGAAGTTGGGGTTCATGTGATTCACTAAGTCTTTGGAGTTTGTTTCCATATGTGTTTGATTTTTCTCACTTTTCTTTGCTCTAGATGGGAGAGAGCACCTCAGATGGCTGCTCAGTGCCTACACTTTTTTATCTGCCAAGTGTGAGATGTGGTACTAAAGCAATCTAGCAAGCCATGAATGGATAAGAAATTTGGGCTTTTGTTTAGGTAGTGAAGAAGGGCAAAAATCACTGGTTTAGCACAAAAAAGGACTTTGGACTGCTAACCACAAGGTTGGCAGTTTAAACCCACCAGCCACTCCTCAGAAACTCTGTAGAGTGTCGCTATGAGTCAAAATTGACTCTATAGCAGTTAACAACAACAAATCAATATTGATTATAATAAAATACAAATACATAATGAAACACAATAATTTTACCATGCATGTTTCACTTTTAAAAGCTCATGTCTTTCTTTCATTTTCGTTGCAATTTGACTCATTTGTCTTTTTAAATTTATCCCTGTTAGGATTATTTTCAGCATCTGGAGACCTTACTTTTCCATTATGTCTTTGTGTGAAGATATGCTGCTTTGTAACTATCGAAAGTGTCGCATTAAACTCTCTGGTTATGCATGGGTCACCGCCTGCTCTCACATCTTCTGTGATCAGCATGGCAGTGGTGAGTTTAGCCGCTCACCAGCTATCTGCCCTGCTTGCAACAGTACCCTTTCTGGAAAGCTAGATATTGTCCGCACAGAACTCAGCCCATCAGAGGAATATAAAGCCATGGTGTTGGCAGGACTGCGACCAGAGATTGTGTTGGACATTAGCTCTCGAGCCCTGGCCTTCTGGACATATCAAGTAAGTACTTAGGTTAGTTTCTCTGGAGAGTATACCTTGAGGCTAAAGTGGGAGCTTCTAGTGTTTTTCCTTCACTGTTTTATGAATACATGAAAAGCTTTCTGTTTAATAAATTGTTTCCCTTTTTCACAAGTAATACATATGTTTGTTGTTGAAAATTCAAAAGGAAGAAAAATTTAAAGATACCTATAGTTCCATTACTTAGAGATAATCATGCTACTATTTCTGTTTGTATGTTACTAGACTTTTTCTGTGTATGAATATATATATATAGTTGTTAAGTGCCGTCGAGTAGGATGCCATAGAGTCAGTTCCGACCCATAGCGACCCTGAACAGGGTTTCCAAGGCTGTTAACCTCAAGGTCAGCAGTTCGAAACTACCAGCAGTTCCCTGGGAGACAGATGAGGCTTTCTGCTCCCATAAAGATTCACAGCCACGGAAACCCTGTGCAGGGTCGCTGTGAGTTGGAACCAACTCCATGGGCACATAACCACCACCACCAACCACGCTACCAGAGCTACCAATTACATATGGGTAATATAAAATCTCATTGCTTTCTAAATTTGTCATCTTTGATCACTTTGTAAGATGAACATTTAAAAGTTTTTTTTGTGTGTGTGTGTTTTATGAATTGTGTTTCAGTCTTGTTTTAATTTCTGTATTTTCTTACTGACTTGTAAGAATCTTCTCTATATAAATAATTCTTTTGTTGTAAGAGATTGCCTTCATTTTTCCATTATCTTTTACTAGTCTTTGTTGTTTTTTTTGGCATATAGAAATTTAAAATGTGTATATATTCAGATATATCAATCACCCTTATTATTTCTGTCTTTATTGTCTTCTTGGAAAATTTTTCCTATGGATAACTTTAGTCATGTCTTTGATATATTATTATATCTTGCTTTTGTACTTTTTTTTGTTTTTGTTTTTAACTTTTTGTTGTGAATTGAGTAAAAGTTTACAGAACAGATCATTAGTCCCACATTGAACAAATTATACACTTCATGCATTTATAATCTTTTTGATGGTTGTATTTGTCATCTATCAAGTAAACATTTTCATTATATTTTTCTGGGTAAAGTGCCCCTCTTGTATGCTCTTACATTCTTTTTTCTTTTTAACTTTTTATTGTGAATTGAATGAAGGTTTACAGAACATATCATCAGTCCTTTATTCAATAAATTATACACTTTGTGTAATTACCATGATTGCAATCCATTCCATGTACCATCGGTTAACAGTATTTACCTCTTTTCATTTTATTTTTCTCAACTCCCTACCCCTACCCACCCTGTAACCATCGTTGTTGTTGAGTGGATTCTGACCCATCGTGACCTTGTATACGGTTTCCGAGGAGCAGCTGGTGAGCTTGAACCATCATAGAATGTTTAATTTAGCAAGGAAATTTCTTAACTTTTTATAACAATGGTCTCATGTAAAATTTGTCCTTTTTAATTGACTACTTTCACTCAGCATAACGTCCTCCAGGTTCATACATGTTGTGAGGTGTTTTGCAGATTTTTCATTATTCTTTAGTGTCACATAATACTCCATTGTGTGTAGCTACCAAAATTTACTTAACCATTTTTCTGTTGAAGGGCATTTAGGCTGTCTCCATCTTATGACTAGTGCTGTAATGAACATGTGTGTGCATAGATCCAGTAGGGCCACAGTTCTTTCTTTCTTTTAAAAACATTTTTTTTATTATGAGTTGAGTGAAGGTTTATAGACAAGATCACCAGTTTTACATTCAACAGATCACATGTTCTTTTTTTAATCTCAGTGATTTACCTCCATGTAACAACAGTTATCCTGTATCCTTCTTGTGGTGCCTGTTTCCATTCCATATTCCTTCTCAACTTTGTCCTTAGGTAACTTTTGCCCTTTTGATTTTGAATGATTGACCATTGCATGGTGAGCATACCTTACTAATGTTGTCGTCCCCCTATATACTGTTCTACTGCTTGACTGAAGATTGGGCCATAATAGTGAGTTCCTTTCTAGACTTGAAGAATGATCGAGAGCAATAGTCTTAGTTTCCTCCAGTCTATTTCTGACCAGTAAGCTTGAGTTCTTTTTGTTTTTTTTTTTTAAGTAGTTTTGAGTTTTGTTGTACATTTTCTGCTATTCTATCTGGGACCTTCTAATGTGATCCTTCAGAGCAGTTGATAGTAGTTAGCTGAGACACCACTCTTATTTCTTGAGGATATATACCAAGTAGAGTGATTGCTTGGTATGGTCTTATATCTTATGCTTATTCATACTGTATTGCAACTATCTGCATACTTGTTCATCTCAAGTTAGGAGAGTTCTTTAAGCTGATTTTTTATTCTTGTTCATCATTGGGTCCTTATATTAGCTACCATAATTGCTGATCTTTGTTGTTGTGTATTGTTGAGCTGATTCTGATTCTTCGAAACCCTCTAGGGCAGAGCAGAGCTTTCTCATAGGGTTTCCTAGGCTGTAATCTTCCCAGGGTTGGAATTGAGTCAATGTTGGTGGGTTTGCTTTGGTTTACTGCTGTTTCACAAACTTGAGTGCCTTAAATTTAATAATAGCATACATTTATTATATCCTCATTTCTGTGGATTAGAAGTTCAGACATAGGTTAGCTGGGTCCTCTTGAGAGATCAGGTCCCACAAGGCTGCAATAAAGGTACTGGTTGGGGCTGAAGTCGCATCTGAAGCCCCACTGGAGAAGGACCTGCTTTCAAACTTTTGTAGTCATTGACAGTACTCACTTCCCAGTGAACTGTCGGACTGAAGACCTCAGTTTCTTATTGCTATTAATCAGAGGGCACCTTCAGTTAACTTTCCATGTGGCCCTTCATTCCAATGTGACTGCTTACTTCCTCAAAACCACCAAGAGATAGTGTCCTTTTAAGACAGGTTTTACAATCTTATGTAACACAGTCATGAAGTGACATCCATCACCTGTGCTGTAATCTAGTCACAGGTCCCAACCACACTCAAGGGGAGAGATTACACAAGGGTGTGAGTACCACAAGGCAGGGATAATTACTTGAAAAACAGAATTCTATTTCTTAAAAACCTTTGAAATACATGTCACTTTAAAGGGAAAACAAGTAATTACTTCTTTTTTTTTTGGTGTGGTATAATGGTAATGGTTCAAGAGTATTGCTTCAGAAGGTCTTCCATGCTCTTACTAGCATCCTGTTATTTTCTATAATTATGTATGTACAGCTTCAGTGCTTTTTAAACTGGTTCTAAATGTAAAGCAATAATAGCATCCTAATGTAAGTATCTTTCTCTTTATTTGTGATTGCCTGAGGTTTTATAGGATATAACTTTGTAATCATCACCCTAAAGTTCTTTTTTCTCTTGGGATAGGTACACCAGGAACGTCTCTATCAAGAATACAATTTCAGTAAGGCTGAGGGTCATCTGAAACAGATGGAGAAGATCTATACCCAGCAAATACAGAGCAAGGATGTGGAATTGACCTCTATGAAAGGAGAGGTCACCTCCATGAAGAAAGTGCTAGAAGAATATAAGAAAAAGTTCAGTGACATATCAGAGAAACTTATGGAGCGCAATCGCCAGTATCAAAAACTCCAGGGCCTCTACGATAGCCTTAGGTTACGAAACATCACTATTGCTAACCAAGAAGGCACCCTTGAACCATCCATGATCACACAGTCTGGTGTTTTTGGCTTCCCATTAGGTAAGAAAGAGCATGTGATGGCCAGTGTCTATTCTTAAAATCAGTGATTTTCACATTGTGTTCTGCAGAGTTCCAAGCAGTCAGTGGATCTTCAGGTGCGTAGGTTGTTGTTGGTGGTTTTGTGCCGTGGAGTCGGTTCTGACTCATAGCGACCTTGTACAAGGTTTCCAAGGCTGTAAATCTTTATGGGAGCAGAAAGCCTCATTTTTCTCTTGTGGAACCGTTGGTAGTTTCAAATTGCTGACCCTGAGGTTAATAGCCCAATTCGTAACTACTACGCTACCAGAGCTCCTTAGGATGGTGGTAGGCTCTGGGTTTTTCCTGTATTAACTGGTCCATCATTGTTTTTATCTATTGTATTTGCTTATATTTAAGTTAAATCTTTAATTTGAGCAGAGAGTTAATCTCTTTAAGATAAAAGTTTATAAGTTGCTACTTTAAATAAATCAAATGCTATTTAGTAGCAGTAATAATGGTAATACTATTGTTTTTGTTATGTGTCATGGAATCGGTTCCAACTTATAGTGACCCTGTACAGGGTTTACGAGGCTGTAAATCTTTATGGGAGCAGAAAGCCTCATCTGTCTCCCTTGGAACAGCTGGTAGTTTTGAACTGCTGACCATGAGGTTAGCAGCCCGATTTGTAACCACTACACTACCAGTTATTTATTGATTGCTTACTAAGCGGCAGGAATTGTTATGAATATTCTACATGTATTTATGTAATTTTTAAAAAATCTATGAGGTAGATATTATCATCATTTTGCCTATTTTAAAGATGAGCCAATGAGGCACAGAAAGGTTAAGCAATTTTGTCAAGGTCACAGAGCTATTTTCCTAGTGGTCATGTTTTAGTTTTTTTATGTAGAAATCCTGACTACATAGTACTAAAGTTCTGTTGGTGGTTATGTTGATATATTCTTTTGTTTTATAATTAATTCTTTCACTTATTAAATACTTACCAAATACATTTCGTGTGATAGGCTGCTAGACACAATCTTAATCAATGAGGACATAAAGCTTATCCAGATAGGATTTCTGTCCTCTCGGACCTAGGATGGTACTGGCTGTTTTCTGCCTGTTAGTTGCCTTGGCAGGTACAATGAATCTTGTATCTCTTTCTGACTTCTCTCCTTTATACTACTTTTAATACAATAGAATCCAATGTTTTTGCTATGGTATTAAAAAAAATGGTTTTGACATACAAAAATAAATGCAGCTTCTGCGCTGTAATTTCTTATATACCCATTTATTTGAATATTTATTATAGACCAAGGAGAAGGATTTCGTGGAGGAAGAGCAGAAGACAGGAAAAAAATGAACTTGATGAAATTAGGGTTCTAGAAAAAGTGTGAGGTGATGTGATAAGTAATATCAGACATAAAAATGAAAACAAAAAATATAGTTTAGTTAATCTAAGTGTTATTGTCAGTGGACATTGTTGTTGTTAAGTGCCATCCAGTTGGTTCTGACTCATGGTGACCCTGTATATTGTTTCCACGGAGTGGCTTGTGGGTTTGAACCACTGACCTGTGGTCAGCAGTCCAGTGCTTATCCTACAGTGCTGTACCAGGACTCACTCCAGACCTTGTAAACGATATCATTTATTTTCTTGTCATTGTTCACATTTGTTTTGATTTCTTTCATATTCACCAACTGTTTTTGTGTGCATACCTGCCTTTTAACCTCTTGTTACCAATGTTAACTTGAAGCATATATAGTCACTAATCTTTTATTACCTATTCCCATTAAAACATGTAGAAGCAAACGAATGGACTCAGTGGAATTAATTACATGCTTATCTAATCAGATCTATTCTCTGATTTTTCTTATGCCAGTGAATTGATCTTGAATCATGAATATGTTCCAATTTTTCATAGCATATATTTTCTCTAGTGCTTATTACAATTAAAAAAAATATTACTGTAAAGAACGTGGGACAAAAGAATTTATGTATCTATATGTTATTTTGTCATATATATGCCTATATATGTTCTTTTGTCCCATGCACACACACACACTAGGGTAAGTCAAAAGTATTGCTATAAAATCAAAAAACTTACTAAACAAAAATATTAAAGTTTGTAGGTATTATTTCTCAACATACCATCTATATAGGTCTACATACTTCTGAAGGTAATATTTTCATCTAACCCTTCCTTGAAGAAAGCTGAACTCTTTAATTTACACCATGTCAAAACTGTATCATCAGGGGAATCAAATTGTGTTCCTTTCAATTGTTCCTTGAGTTTGGGAAATAAAAAGAAGTCTAAAGGGACAAGATAGGGGTTGGGTGGATGGAGTAAAGTTTCCCAGTGAAACTCTCCTACGACAACCCTTGCTACCCTTGAAAAATGAGCAAGTGCATTCTAGTGATGGAAAAAGATTCCTTGGTACAACTTTCCTCATCTTTTCCTCACCAATGCAGTTTTCTATTTTCTAAAAATGTCATAATAATCCCCCATGATCCTCCTGTATTCTTCAACAAGATCTATTGAGATTGTCCAAATCTGCCAAACCTGTCAAGATTGGGAAGAACTGTCTTGATAGAACATTCTGAGCTGACCTCTCTGCCTTGAACTGAACTAGCCCAGCAGATCCCCTTGAAAGCCACTGTTTTGATTGAACCATTTTTTAGTAGGTACCCTAATAAAATGAAGACACTTGTATTACTGAGAGAATTTATCTGCTGTCATCCACTGATTACAGAGTCATGTTTGAACACATTTGTTTGGAATAAATCCTTGTATATATGAACTGGAGCCCTAGTATCAGTAATTTTTTTTTACTTATTCTCATACAAAGGGACTTAAAAAAGTTTGTGGGAAAATTCCAGTATCTTTTTTTTTTGAAGATCAAAGACCTCTTTTATTTAATTTTTGTTAAACTTTTTATTGTAAATTGAGTGAAGCTTTACAGAGTAGATTAGTGGTTTTACATTCACCAAATCATATGCTTTGCTTCATTGCAGTGATCACAATCCTGTCCATGTACCATCAGTTAATAGTATTTATCTCTATTCACATTATTATTTTTTCTTTTAAGTTTTTACTGTGAGTTGAGTGATCGTTTACATGGGAGAACATCAGTTTTACACTCATCGTTTCATTGCAATGATTATAGTCTCTGTACATCATTATTCAACAGTATTTGTTTCTGTTCCCTTTGTTTTTTAAATTTTTGGATGGGGGGCAATGTACATGAAAACAGGAATATATAATCATTTAAACAACCAAGGGGTACATTCTGCAAGCCTGCCTCCTGGCCACCAGCACCTGGCCGCCAGAACACAGCCTTTCTCTATCCTTGAGTCTAGAGCCCTCAGCTGCTCTATTTCTCCATGCCCTCATCTCTGTCTCCATCTCTGGTATTGCTGCTTCTCTTAGGGTCTCACATTCCACTCATGCTCTTCTCCCTTGAGAAATTCCAGTATCTTTTAATTCCACTTTTTCATGATGTTTGTGAAACCCTCTTGAACATACATACATAGGCACATGCATGCACACACACACACACACATATGAGGGGGGCTTCAGAAAGTTTGTGGAATAATGGAATTGAAAGATAATGGATTTTGTCCATGAATTTAATTGCTTATATAAATAAGATGCTTCCTTTGCAATAGATTAAATAGTTAGCAAATGAATAAAATTATGATATTATAAATTCTAGCTCTACTAAAAACATATTTCAGTGTGTCAAATTACTTTTGGTGATGAGGTCATGGCTATCATCGGAAACTGCATCACAGAAGATGGTATAGTGTATACTTTACTTCAGGGAAAAGATGGGGCAAAAGTCTTTTTCTTTATACAACATTAGAGCTAACATAACAACAGCAATGACTGTAAAGATGATCCAAGACTGGAAAGAGTTTGATTTTGTTGTATATAGGGTCATCATGAGTCACAACCAACTCAGTGGCACTTAACAGGTTTTTATATTTTATCCATAACTCTCATGTGAGTCTAGTTCTGTTAAAAATATTCATTGAGTGATTTTTTTCCCCCCTGTTCCTAAAGATCTGTAAGGAAAATGATACTTAACTTCTTCCCTTTTTTTTTTCCTCCCAGGAAGCCATTCCAAGTTTCCTCTGGACAACACACCAATTCGAAATCACGGTGGTGGAGATGGAGATTTTCATTTCAAACCATTTTTTGTGGGTTCTCCCACAGCACCTGAACCCAGCAACAGCTTTTTTAATTTTGCGTCTCCAAGTTATGAACAACTAGAGAAACAGCAAGTTTCTAGTAGAGCCTTCAAAGTAAAGAGAGTTTAGCTCACTTTACCGAGTGCTTGTATATCCATGTTCAGTAATTTCATTTAGCTGTAATCGTTATTCTAGATTGAGGTTGCCAACCTCACGGTGCTATTAAGTCTTTGAAGGTTTAACAGTTTCAGCTACAGGAAACTCATTGGTAGTGTGGAGTAGTTTTTTTTTGTCTGTTATTATTATTTAAACCATGATCATATTTCATTGTAAACTGTTGAGTTTTCACAAGTAGTCATGGCACAGGTTGTCTTATTGAGTGTTTGATAGATAACTTTCTGACTAGACTGTTGCTGACAGAGCTGTGTTATTTATGCATGTGTATATAAGTTATATGTCGATATGTGATTTTGGTTCTGATATTTTATGTGTATATAAACACACACAATATGTAAGTGTGTTTATTTACATTTATTTTTTGCTGTATTTGCCAGTATGTTTTTATGAAAATTTTGATCTTGGAGAATTGGGATGAGTCTCTGGCTTATTATTTTAGTTGTATATTTTAGTTTCATTTATTTATATATATCATGTGTTTGCCTTTGTATTAACTTATTTAGAAGTATGCTCATGTGAATGAAAGTACAGTTTGATGCATATGTGTCCAGTTTCTGTTCTTTTAAAAAATAATACATATAGATAAAGTTATTATTTTAGAAAGTTGATTGTTTTGACACTTATTTTAAAATAAAATACTATACCTTTATGTTAGCTCTATTCTTGGGTTTAACTATTTAGGAACACACTATTATAGCAGGAACATTACTGTGTGTTACTGGTCTAAAGAGATTGTTGTTGTAAGTGCCCTTGAGTTGGTTCTGACTCATAATGACCCTGTATAGGGTTTCCAAGGATCAGCTGTTGGGTTTGAACTGCTGACTTTTTGGTTCACTGTCCAGTGCTGATCCTAAAGAGATTATATTAATTTAAAAAATTTTAAAGATTTTTACCATGTCTTCCTTTATAAAATAGTGGGCATTTCTGAATACTATCACAGATAATGTATTTAAAATGTAGAATCAAGAAAGAAATTTAAAGGGTAGTCTTAGTAACTTTTATCTCCCACAAGGTTTGAAAGCATATTGATTGGGAAGGTAGAGTATCTGGGTTTTATTTGTGATTTTTTCCATATAATGATTGTGTGAGTTTGAATTTAAACTTTTGGGCTTTAGTTTTTATCTCTACAAAATGAATGTTTGAATTAGGTTACTCTTAGAGCCTTTTTTAAGGAACCCTGGTAGTGTAGTGGGTTATGAGCTGGGCTGCTAACCATAAGGTCAGCAGTTTGAATCTACCAGTTGCTCTGAGGGAGAAAGATGAGGCTTTTGCTCCTATCAAAATATATAGCCTTGTAAACCCTATGCAAGGTCCACATGAGTTGGAATTGACTTGACTGCACACCACACCACAGGCTTTTAAAATCTTTCATTAGTTCTTACTGCTATGGAGGGAACTACAAGGAAATTATCCTAAATGCCAATTCAATTGTTTTTTCAGGTAATAAAATTATACCAAAATTATTTTAGAAGCTTTTATCTGTAGTCATTGTAGAAAGGAAAATGAATATCCCTGCTTTAGGTAATTGAAGAACAAGCAAGTTTGTATACTTCACTAGGAATACAGAGTATAAAATCACTTCATTTAAAAAATAATTACACCCCAAAGTTAAAACGATGTCAGAGAAGATGAAAAATCTTGACTTAAATGCGTAAAAAGCATTCCTGTCTATTTTATAGCTATTCAGACAGATTTTACATTTTAGCGTTCCCCTTCCTTACATGGTTTGAAGTTTTGTTAGAAACAGCCTCTGAAATTATTTTACATAAATTCCTAATTTTTGCCTTTAACCTTTTCACCTTTTCTTTGTTAAGGTTCATAGAATGAATTTGAAGCACAAAATAGCTATAATTAAAAATAAATAGTAAAGAAAAACTGTCAGGACCATTACTTGGTACTTTAAAAGAAGTTATTTATTGAGTAGTTTAGTTGTTCACATGCTATTTCAAATGGTACAAACCCCCCCTTCCCCCCCCCCCCAAAAAAAAAAAAAAACTCCCTCCCACCCTTGTTCCTCTCCCCTCTGGAAGCAATTACTATTGTCAGCTTCTTGTGTCTCTTTCGAGAGACTCTTTGTAGAAGCAAGTATTTTTTAATTTAAAAATTGTGTTTATTTTTTCAACAGGTAATAGAAGGGGTCTTTAAAAAGTTCAAAGGAAAATAGAATAAAAAGAAAATTGAGTTTTTCCACAATCTTTTTGAAGCCTACTCATATGTACACGTTAAGTTCAAGAGCTAACAAAAGTACATAGTGAAAAGAATTCTCTTCACTCTGTTTCACTCTAAAGGGGTAGTCTTTCTTATGTATTCTTCTAGATAAGTCTGAGTAAGCAAGCATTATTTGTGTACCGAATGATGGCTTTAAAAATAGCATCCGAAGCAGATTTATTAGGATAGTGTATTTAAAACGATAAAGTTCCTCATACCAAAATGTCACTGTGAAATTTGGAAAGAAATTAGCCTACAGTATACCACTAACACATTCCATTCAAACGTTCAAATTCATGCTACAGGCATCCATTTATCTTAACCTGTTTGTTTCTTCAGGTATTATAATCTAGTTATAAATAAGTAGGAAGCTATGAAAAGCACATATGTAATTGAGCTGCTGGCATTTTGTCCAAAATTTGGGAAAGAAACGCATTTATAACTCAAAAGTGATGTATAGATTATCTTCTTTTGAGCTTTAAACATTGGTTCAGAGTAATGAATGTCCATTCTTAAAAACCAGATCCTTTGCTCAGCTTCAGGTAAGCCTCCAGGCCTCTAGATGTCGCTGTGGCTCCGTGGTTGGGTGGACAGAATCTCTGTGGTTATAAAGTTGGGGGCGGAGAACCCGAGAGTGGCTAGGAATGATGGCTGATGAAGAGGAAGAAGTCAAGCAGATCGTGCAGAAATTGCAGGTGGGGGCCATAGGTCAAAATCTGTATGGGCTTTTGTTACTCTGGAAGAAGCAGAGAACGCAGTTTATGCAGTGCCTGCGAATTTCTTGGCACGTACCTGACGCTGTCTGTGTCTGTGCGGTTACTATAACAACTCCCGAAGGTACAGCGGCAGCAGAGTGGGGAGCCTCTCAGACCAGGGGAGGGGCGCTGCCAGTGTATCGGGACCTGCTGCTTACCTGACTGCACTTAATTTCAGTCCTGTGTGGAAGAGGATTTGTTGCATCTAACTTTATTCCTGTACATTCTTAAGAGTTGAAGGTTTTTTTGTTTTTGTTTTTTGTTTTTGTCTTGATTCACTCTAACAAATAGCACATATATATATGCTTTGAAATTGGCAACAGTGATCTTAATGGCCTGCTCCGCCTGTATCCTGGTATTTTCTTTGTTGATGTTGTTAAGTGTTCTGGAGCTGTATAGGGTTTCCTAACAGCGGCTGGTGAGCTTGAACTGCCGACCTTGAAGTCCAGCGCATTAGCCTACAGCGCCACACTAAGGAGCTCTGGTAGTGTAGTGGTTACGAGTCGGGATACTAACTTCAAGGTCAGCAGTTCGAAACTACCACTTGTTTCGCTGGAGAAAGATGAAGCTTTCTGCTCGCGTAATTTACAGCCTCGGGAACCCTATACGGGGTCGCTATGAGTCGGAAACCGGCTCCACTGCACACAACCACTCAACTGCACACAACCACCACCACCATTCCAGTTAGGGGTAATCCCAGTTTGAGATTTGATACAAAGGGCTACAGACTTCGTTCAGTCGACATTTGATTGTGTTTGAGTAAACTTTGATTTAATTTTTACAGACATTTTAGGATAGAAGGATGTATAGAAGGATATTTCTCAAAGTGTTTTACAGACCATTTTCATTTTATAAGGGTGCTTATTGTTAAGTGTCATAGAGTTGGTTCCTACCCATAGAGACCCTCTATAGGGTCTTTGCAATTCAGCACGTTAACCCACAGAGCCACATCAGGACAACAGTATGTTTGGTTGGTAGGAATAACGTAGTTGTGTGGCTCTTACTTTCTTTTGGAGTCCTGGTGTGAAGCTGTAGGGTAAGCATTGGACTGCTAAACATAAGGCCAGCAGTTTAAGCCTATCAGCTGCTCCTAGAAAACCCTAAATAGCGTTGCTATGAGTTGGAACCACTCAACAGCACTTAAAAACAGCAACCTTTCTTTTAATGATCCAGGATGTTCATGTTAAACCATGGAAATTTAGTCCTTTGTGTATGAACAGGAATTTAAACATTAGACCTACGACAGGCTTATAAAATTTCTTGTAAGCTTCAGCGCAAAAATGTAAACATTGGTCACTCGTGACATTTGTTTCTTGAAAAGATTAATGACACCTCTTAAAGTGTGGGTTTTAGTTCACTTCTATCTGATTTGTACTTTTTTCATTATTTCCTAGGTGTAAAGGAGCTCTAGTAGTGTAGTGGTTACGAATCGGGCTGCGAACTGCAAGGTCAGCAGTTCGAAACTACTAGCTGTTCCGCTGGAGAGAGATGAGGCTTTCGGCTCCCTTTACAAAGATTTACAGCCTTGGAAACCCTGTACAGGGTCGTTGTGAGTCGGAACCGACTCCACAGCACATAACAACCACAGCAACAACTGGCTAAGTTGGAGAAGGATTGCTTTGAGTCAGAACTAACTAGTCAACACTTAACTGGCAAAATCAGTTTCTCAATCATGGCTTCACATAAGAAATGTAGTATGTATATGTTTGAATATATATAGAAAAAAATCTGAGAAGATACACAGAACAGTGGTTTTCCCCGTGGTTGTTTGGGGCATTATGAGTAATCTTACTTTCTATTTTTTACTTATACCTATGCGAGTTAATGCGCTGGACTGCAGGGTTGGTTTGAACTGCAAGGTCGGTGGTTCAAGCTCACTAGCTACTCCTTGGAAACCTTATACAGGGTCACTCTGAGTCAGAACAGACTCAATGGCACTTAACAACAATCCTAGCAAAATGATTTCTGCAGACTGGGAACTGGAAAAGCCTGACACAATAAAGTTTGAAAAGCACTAATGCAGAGGGTGCTAGTCTAGCCATGTCATTCTAGGTAGCCTTTTAAACTAAACGTTGTTAAGTGCCATCAAGTCGATTCCGACCCATAGTGACCCTGTATAGGGTTTCCGAGGAGCAGCTGGTGAGCTTGAACTGCCGACCTTGCAGTTCAAACGGCTTTATAGTCTGGCTCATTAACCCACAGCGCCACACCATGTAGGTATTTGTTAGAGGTAGTGATGACTCATTAATGAATTAACCAGTATATTTAACGAGAGCTTACCATGTTCTCACCCCTGTTCTAGTGCTGGGATATAGATGTAAAGAAAACAGACAAAGTCCTTCCCTCATGTAGCTTGCATTCTAGTGATACAGACAATAGACAATTAAATAGACAATAGACAGATTGGGAGAGAGTAAGAAGCAAGATATCCAGTTTGGAAAATACTTGAATAATCTAGGCAATTAATGGTGCTGATTTAGATAAGGATGGTCTCATGGAATGGAGGCAGGTGGGTGAATTTGGATGTGTTGTGGGAATAGTTGTTAAGACTTGATAGGATTGGCTTAACATGTTTCTGCTGCTGTTCAGTGTAGACAAAGCTTTGACTGGTGGCACAGGAAAATTCAGTGATAAAGCATTTTAAAGAGAAAGAAAATGCTTATTTGTAAAGCATGCAATAGGGTCAGAAGATGATTTACCAAATTGAACAAAACAAAACAAAAAACTCAACCACAGAAGTACAGGTATTTTTTTAAAACCTGCAAAAATGCGTTACCAAGTTTAAATTGATCTGTTTGTGATAGAAAACATTACGTTTCACAAAAGTCTTACTGTATTTTCAGACATCAACATAGGAAAAGTCAGGATTAAAATTGGTTCTGATAGTAAATGTAAAATTTATTCTTTGGAGACCAGAATCAGATGCAAGGATCTTGTTAATTTTTGGTTTATCTCAACTTGTGAAGTGTTTTTCCCCTCCTGACTGAAGTGCTTAGTCATATGGGAAGCCTGGCTGGGACTGAGGAAGAGAGAACTATCATATTGGGGCAGAGACAGGTAGATACATCCTGAGAGTGGGCCTGGGGCACTGGCCACTTCTGCACACGATTTATGACATTTTGTTAAGCATGACTACTTGCTTTTTGTGCCATTCTTAGGTGAGATAGGGAATCAGTATTTTTAGGCCAAGGGCTGGTGTAGCTAGCTAGCCAATATCAAACTTGTTTTTCTGGTATTATTTTTCCTTAAATAACATTCTTACACTCCCTAGGAACTGGTGGATCAGCTCTATTCCTTTCGAGACTGCTATTTTGAGACACATAGTGTTGAGGATGCTGGGAGAAAGCAGCAAGATGTTCGGGAGGAGATGGAGAAGACCCTGCAGCAGATGGAGGAAGTAGTGGGTATGAGTTCCAAAAGAGTGCACACACTCACACACACCCTCGCACCCCCCGCTTATCACCTAAATGCTAAAGAGATCATCTTTTTGTAGCCTCTGGGATCCTATTTGTGATGGCTTCAGGATGTATAACAGAAATATTTCTTCTAAGGTGCTTGTGGAGGATGGTGACCTTTCAGTTCTCCAAACTACTTTTCCTAAAGTTTACTTATAGTAAGTGCATGGAATAAAAGAGCATATTTGTTGCTTGAACTATTGTAATGATGTTCTTAATGGACTTTTCTGTCTCTAATTTCTTTCATTTGCCAATAAGCCTATATTATTACCATGGCTCTGGTTCTCCTTCTAAATACTATTTCATTCACTTAATTTTACTGTCTTTTCTACCTCTTTGCAGAAGTCTGAGTCTCTTAAACTCCTATTCAAGGTTCTGTCAGCCAACTGTTTTTTTTATAACCTTATCTCTGACTGTTTACTACAGAGTAATCTTTGGTTTCTTCCAGGTTGATCTTTCCTTTCTCCCATGCATATTTAAAAAGGGTGTGGGGGCATGTCTGACCTCCTTGGACTTTACAGCTACAAGGAGAACAAAGCTCAACATCAGCCCAAGGCTAATTCCTATGAGGCAGAGGTCAGACATGCCTTGACCCTCCAACCTTTTTTAAAAATCCATTTCTGACACTGCCAGTTCCTCCCAGAGCACTCTTGTCTTTTACTGCTGGTTTGATAATTCGTTGCAATGTCCACTCAGACTGTACTTATGATTATGGACAGAGCTTATTAGGGAAGGTTAACTTCTTCAGTCAGGATAGCCTCTTCTCAGCCATGGCTACAGACCACATCTCCTTGTGGTCCTTGACCTCTTTGCCTGGGGGTCTCTTGATTATGCAGTGCTACAAAGTTCTTTTAAGGAATTCTGGTAGTGTAGTGGTTACGAATCGGCCTGCTAACCTCAAGGTCGGCAGTTCGAAAGTAACAGGTGTTCCTCGGGAGAAAGGTGAGGCTTTCTGCTCCTGTAAAGATATACAGCCTTGGAAACCCTGTGCAGGGTCATTGTGAGTCAGAACTGACTCCACGGTACTTAACAACAACACAAAATTCTTCTAGTACTGCCAATGAATGTCCAAAGGCACTTTATTACACCAAAAGCCTCAGCCTGAAGGTGCTTAGCTAGATCTGGGTCTGTCAGCCTAGCTCCCTAATTAAGTACCTGGAGACAACCAAGTCCCAAACTAACTTTCTTACTCTGCGGGTTGGTAAGTCTGTCTCCTGCTCTTGGTGTTGCTGCCTCTGTTGCTGATGCCACTCCTCCTGTGACGTAGCTCTGTCTTTTGGTTGGAAGAGGTTCGACTTGTAGGGCTCTTGGGGTCCAAATGATGCACTCCACGCCACCACCCCCTTTCTTGCTTCTGAGATGGCTCATTTAATACTCAGCAGGATGGCAGAATCGACCATGCCCATATTAGAGTTCCAACTTTTTATAATCACAGTGAACCCTGTTTTCAGTCTGGTGTGGCCTTGTGGATCAGCACTAGATTGCTAACCACAAGGTCAGTGTTTCAAATCTAGCAGCCATTTCTTGGAAACCCATAACAGGATCATTATGAGTCAGAACAGACTCAGTTGCACTTATAGTAACAATAGTCATTCACAACTGGATCCTATCAACAGTCTCCCTTACTTTCTCTTACCCACACCCACTAGGAAAAGAGGAAAATCTGTATGGTCCTACCCAGTCATTTTGGTGAGAGTTACAAAGATTGTAGCTAGAAGAGTTGTATTAAGAAAATCACTGCTCCACAACGTGTCACATGTATTTCTGCCTCTGCATCTTATGTTTATGTCATTTTGTAACGTGAAGGACTTTATATTTTATCTTTGACGTTTTAAAACTGATTTATTGGGCACATTATCACATTCTCCTTTCCATTGTTTCACTTTTGTTCTGTGCATGCTTTGTGGTTTCCATCAGATTGTAAACTCTTAAGCTAGTGCTTTTTATGTTACCCCAAACATAGTACTCAACATAGTGCTCTGCATATGGTTGGCTTTCAATAAATGGTTTGTATACAATGCTTTTCTTCAACTTTTCATTCTCAGAGCTGGGATGGAGTTATTTCTTAAAAAAGAGTGCCCTACCTTAGGTGAAGTTCTGGTGTGGTGTTGTAGGTTAATGCCCTGGATTTCCAGGTCAGTTTGAACTGCAAGTTCAGTGGTTCAAGCTCATCAGCCTCTCCTTGAGAACCTTATACAGGGTCACTATGAGTATAAACCCACTGATGGCACTTAACAACAATAACAACAGTCTTAGGTGGAATCCTGAGCCCCACCCAGAACCTTCTGAGGTGGGATATTTCCACTTCAAAAGACATGCAGACCAACCCAGAATAGCTAGAAGAATAGAAGATACTTCTTGAAAGAAAGATCACCAGTAAAGAGCAGACTGGCTGTTAGACTATCAAGCAAGTTGTTTGCCTGGGAGCCATCAAACAAGAAAAGCCCAGCCTATCAGGGTAAAACCCTTCTAAGACTGAAACTCAAAGGGAACTCACGAGCAGTCTAGTGTGCTCACTGGTGACTGCCCTGGTCTATTTGTGAGGGCAAGTGGGAGAAATGCAACAATGAAGACGGGCTGAGTTTGGCCATGTTCCATTGACACCTTGAGATGAGAGAGGAGGGGAAAGAGAAGAGAAAGGGCTGGCTGGTCTAAGGTTTACAGACACATGTGAACTCCTAAGTCCATGGACACTGACCTAGCCACTGGCGGGTAGAGCTGAAAGTGAAGCAGCCAGCTGGTCTGAAGTGGGGGGGAGGCGTGTGAGAACTGCCAAACTTGCGGCTGGTACTCATTTGACCTAGCTTGCATGGCTAGCTGACCAGAACTCAACCAGATAAAGAAATTTGATACAGCGAGCAAGCGTAAATTGTTAGTTTGATTGCTTACGGATGCACTTCCTCAAAATTCCAACTGAAATGGAAGGATTCTTCATATCAAGGACCAGGCTTGTCTCCTCAGCACTCTGGGTTGATCGAAATGAGCGACTTAGACATTGGCTATCAAAAATGGGGGGCTATAAAGGCATGGATTGGCTGGCTTACAAGCTTTCATGAGTGTGCTTGGTTTCAGAATGAGGGGGATAAGGTAGAATCCCCACTGAATAGTTTTCCTCTTTTTCAGATGGGTGTGGTGAAAAGGGATGGGGGAGGATGGTGATAGGATTTTATGATTCAGTTGTGAGTAATTGTTATCAGTACTAAGCACGATTGTCACAACTGTAAATGTAGATTATATGTAACTTAACGGGGGGAGTAGTTAATCTTTCATTTCAGAAACAGAGGACCATCAAGAAGGAAGAACATGAGTACAGTGTGGCAGAGGCGATGACATAGAGAGATAGAGCAGCTGAGGACTCTAGGCCCATGGGCTGAGAAACGCTGTGTGCTTGTGAAATGTGTCCTTTGAGCATTTAAAAGAATGCATCTTTTTTGTTTTGCATGTGTATGTCAAAAAACCCCAAAAAGAAAAGAGGTAAATGCTATTAACTGATGGTACATGGAGGGGATTGTAATCATTGCAATGAAATGAAGTATGATTTGTTGAATGTAAAACTGATAATCTGCCCTGTAAATCTTCACTCAATATACAATTAAAAAACAAACAAACAAAAAAAAAGAGTGCCCTATTCTTATCTGAAAGACTGCCTGGGTTATTTTCCTTTCCTTTCTCTTTTTCTTTCCCTCCTAGGTTCTGTCCAGGGCAAGGCCCAGGTTCTGATGCTAACTGGGAAGGCCCTGAATGTGACTCCTGACTATAGTATTAAAGCTGAGGAGCTTCTATCAAAAGCTGTGAAGCTAGAGCCCGAGTTGGTAGAAGCCTGGAACCAGTTGGGTGAAGTGTACTGGAAGAAAGGGGATATTGCAGCTGCCCACACCTGCTTTTCAGGAGCCCTTACCCATGTGAGTTGCCTGTTGTCCCCTCAGAAATCGCATATGTGAAGAATGGGTTACCTCTAGTCTGGGAGTTGTTCTAGGACATGGTTGCTGGAGGGAAGCTGAGTTAGAACTGGGAGAATAGAAACAGAAGGGAGGAAGAGTCGGGAGTAAACTTGGGTGAGGAAGGTGATAGGATCAGGTTCAGGGCAGATGGGAAGGGATGAAAAGTTAGCAGTCATGCTGGTCCTTGGTAGATGGGGGTCTGAGATGCAGATGGCAGCAAGAATTAGATTTAGGAGAGACTTGAAGTCAGAGTAGATCTGGAAAGGGAGGTATAATAAGGAAGGGTGAGTAAACATCTTTTTCATTTGCAGTGCAAGAACAAAGTCTCCCTGCAAAACCTGTCAATGGTGCTTCGTCAACTTCGGACTGACTCTGGAGATGAACACTCTCGCCATGTCATGGACAGTGTCCTACAGGCCAAGTTGGCTGTGCAGATGGATGTCCTTGATGGCCGCTCCTGGTGTGAGTGCTCTCAAAACATATCCAGATGTTTCTAGAGCAGTGGCTGCACGCCAGAATTATCTGTTGATTCTGACTCTGAGGGTGAAACCAGGGGCATCTTTGTTTTGAAGAAGCTCTAAAGGTATTTTGATGAACGACTATTCTAGGAACTCATGAATCTCTTGATTCAAGACAGGAGGCTTATGTTTCCATATAAGCAAGGTAGATATTTGTAGAATCTATTCAAGTTTCTTCCTGGGCTCTATGTCTGTCTGTCTCAGTAGAATTTAGGGTATATTAAATGTGTTACGATTGGTTTGTGTCAGATGTGAAGCCTTAGGATGATCAAAGTAGGTCATACCTTAAACTTGGGTTCTAAGGTGATTCACCTCTGTTTTTCTTTTCCAGATATCCTGGGGAATGCATACCTGTCTCTTTACTTCAATACTGGTCAGAGCCCTAAGATCTCCCAGCAAGCCCTTAGTGCCTATGCTCAAGCAGTAAGTACTTTTGGTCACCCAGGCCAGATGAAAAGAGCAACATCTTTCTGTCTTCTTTGTGGTCTTTTAGCCAGGAACCTGGGCAGTGTTTGCTGTCATCCAACATACGTGGGTTTGCTAAGCTGTGTCTGCAGAGGCAGCTTATATCTCCTTAATAGGAAGTGTAGTGTCTCAGTACTAGATAGATCTTTGAGCAGTCTAGATTTCTCAAAAGTCATGCTTAGTCAGATCATAGAACTCACCAGAGCAGTGGGAGAAAAATGTATTAAAATGATATGTACTCATAATAGTGTTGTACATTTTTAAATAACAAAGGAAAATTCCAGTTGTTTTTAGCACTATCCAGCTAGCTGCTGACTCATGATGACCCCATGTCCAGTGGAGTGAAATGCTGCCCAGTCCTGCAACATCGTCATGATTAGTGGGGATTCTGACTGTTACCATCCATGGTGTTTTTATTGGCTGATATTTCAGAAGTAGATGCCAGGCTTTTCCTCCTCTTCTGTCTTAGTTGGCAGTTCGAGCCTACCAGCTGCTGCATAGGAGAAAGATGAAGTTTTCTGTTCCTGTAAAGATTTACAGCCTTGGAAACCCTACACAGGGTCACTATGAGTCAACCCTTGACAACAACAATAACAACTTTTTTTTTAAAACATATTTGAACCAACCATTTTAAACAATTTTAATGCATGTTGTTTACTCTTTGGCAGTTTGTCAGGCAATGTGTAGAACTTAGAAAAGTAAAATAAGATAGCCAGCAGTTTCTTCACCCCACATTTGTCTGCTCTGTTCTGTGATTTTTGGCCATCCATTGTGATTGCTGCTAGGTGCCCTTGCGTCAGTTCTGACTCCTAGTAACCCTATGAACCACAGAATGAAATACTACCTGATCTGTGCCATCTTTACTGTTGGTGCTATGTTTGAATCCATTGTTGCAGCCACTGTGCCAATTCATCTTGTTATGGGTCTTCTTTTTCTGCTGACCCTCTACTTTACCAAACATGATGTCCTTCTCCAGGGACTAGTCCCGCCTGATAACATGTCCAAAGTACTTAAGATGAAGTCTCAGCATCCTTGCTTCTAAAGATCATTCTTCCTGTACTTTTTCTGAAACATATTTGTTTGTTCTTCTTTTTATTTTTTTAATGTTTTATTGTGAATTCTGTGATAGTTTACATGGGAGAACATTAAGCTTTACATTTATCCTATATCGTATATCGTTTCACTGCCATGGTTACAATCAACTCCATGCATCATCAACCAACCAAAGGGTATATACACTGAAAGCCTGTCCCACCCCCCACCAGTCGTCAGCACCCAGCCCCTCTCCCTCTCTGGGTCTAAAGTCTCCAGGCGCTCCATCTCTCCATGTCATTGTCTCTGCCTCCATCTCAGGCATCACTGCTTCTCTGGGTAGGGTCCCACTCTCCGCTCTTCTCCCTTGCTGGTCTCAGGGACCTCTGCTCCTAGACTGCAAAGTCAACCACTCCCCTCCTTTTGCTACAAAACGCCACCTTTACATTTCCAACCATCACGATCCGTCCTGATAACAATTATTCACTATTGTATCACAAGAGACCTATCTGCATCTCCTTT